CGTGGAGCCCGGGGACACCTGCACTCGGAAGGGAGCTGCTGCGCTCACCGTCCTGCTCACCGTCCCCTCGGCTTTTGAAATGACCAAAGCCCATCGCTTCCCCCAAAGCTCCCTGTTCCCCACTCTGCCTTCCTGACACTAGTGATGCGGGTTAGCTGGAAAAAGGTTTGCCTTTGAGAGGGGGCTGCTGCGGAAGTAGAGTGGCCCGGGGAAGGCGCAGGCTCACAGCAGGGCAAGGAGGCCGTTACGATTCCTGGTGGAGAATCTGGGGGTCCCTCCAGGACAAGGCTATGACTAAAGTTTTAGAAAAGTACTATGAGATTTTTAGAAATGTTACTGACCATTTTTACGTCTTTTGGTTAATTTGGAGTTCAAGCTCCAGGGCCTACTTTTAGTTGGAGTTTTTTGAAACTCACAAGTTCTGTCTTGGTAATTGTCTTAGAAATAATTTTTACATTTGGAAATAAGGCAGTGCTCCCAGATTGAGTGGTGCTATTTCTAACTGCTTTCCCCTCGTACCTCCCGACCGTTCACCATTTTAGAGAAGTGTGTTGTTGGCTGGCGTGTGGACGCAACTGGTGGCTGACCCAGCGTCATAGAAGACTGCCTTGAGCAACACTTTCTCCTCCCTCGGCCTGCAGCCCGGGCGTTCGGGTGGTGGTTCACCTCAGCGCCTAGCTCTAGTCCGGACTGATAACAGCACGCTTAAAGCAGGCTCTTGCTGAGGTCCTGGTGCGCAAGGCGGACCTGGCTCCCACCCTTCGCAGGTCTGGGAGTGGATCCCCCTGCCCGTTCCTGCGGTTTTAATTTCTGACCTTGTTCTTAACAGGTGAGGAGGCAGGTGAGGCCTCTTACCTTCAGTTTTGCTTGTTTATTTTCTAGTATGCTGTTCCAGTTCATTTGTTTTAAAATGTGATACAACTCCAGATTTAAAAAAAAAAAGGTAATCTTGTACTGCTGGCAAAATGAGAGACATTCTGGAAGTCTTCTTTTAAGCATATTTAGTTCTTGAAGGCCTGTTTCTCAAAGTGACCTATTTTACAATACTCTGCAGTTTTGCATTCTTTTGGGGTGGAATAATCTGTTTTTGCCATATTCTTGGAACATTCTTTGACTTGCTGTGGAGCCCTTCCCTTTTCCTTACGTTCTTTCTAAAACTTACGCTTTCATAACTTAGGTTTGTGAGTTCGTCATTATAAAATGGAAATAGCCCCTCTTGTCTTCCACCTTCCAGCTCGGTGATCTTGGCAAACCGTTGTTATTTCTGAATCTCCTTGTGCAGATGGTTTAGAGCTAAGGCTCTGCACTCATCACCTGTGTGCTCTTGGGCGAGATAACCTTTCTCGAGCTCCTTGCCTGCAAAACAGGGGCAGGAGGATTGTTAGCGCTGAAGACAGATGCACGTCTAGGACAGTGCCGGCCACACACAGGTCCCTGTTCAGTGTGTATGTTCCCAGTAGTTACCTGTATATTGTCCGATTTGACAGTTTCACTGTGTTGTTATGAAGATCACGTGTGAGAATGGATGTGAAAGCCGTAAATGAGTATCAGGTGGATGCACCCGTGTAGAGGAGTTTGTAATCCTGATGATGAGCCGTCACTTTTCTTGGCACAGCTAACGTTTAGGTCCCAAATCACCTACGTGAGTCACTTTTTATTGTGATAGGAAATAAAAATCTATCGTGTATACATTTTATAATAATATCTTAAAATCAAGTAATTTGTCTTTTAAATTTGTCCCACTAACAGCCTCTGTTTAGTTCCTGTGATGCTGGAGTTTGAGTGTGTGCAGCTCCGCACCCTGCAGTTCACAGTGGAGCCTGTGCATCACGCCAAGGCCGCTGTGAAGCTTAAGGCTGGCTCACTGCTGGTCAACACAGCTGTGAAGGAAGGAGAGTGTTTTCAGTTATTAAACAAGGGTGATGTTTTTAGACGTCTCCAAAATCCCAGATTGGTACCTCTACTCTTGACCTCTTTCCGGAGTCCTGAATCCCTGGCTGCTTTTTGGATATTTCCACGTGGATGTTTTTGCTATTGTTTCAGACTCAACGAGTCTAAAGCTCCCTTCGTGATCTTGCTTTTGAAATGGATGCTTCCTCTGATTTTCCTTTTTCGATTAACGATACAGCATTTCCCAGCTAACCTGGGCTTTGACCTCATGTGCTTTATTCCTGGGTCCTCTGGGGCTCGTCTTCAGCCGCCTCTTCTGTCCCTCACTTCCTGTTGGCTTCAGCCACCGCTGCTGTGCGACTTCATTTAATCTTCTGACTCTGATTTTTGTCGCCATCAGTATTGAATACTAGTTAATTGTCCCCAAACATCACTCTCAGTGTGTCACTTTTTTCCTTTAGAACTGTCAGCAATTCCTTGCTATTATATATAAAGCTGTGTATGTACATATGTAATACAGCTATTACCGTGTAAAGGCCTCGTGCGTTAGAGAGACGACTTTCAGCCTCCCGTCCCAGCTTCGCCCTCACTGCTCCCCTGCGTGAGCCCTTCTCTCCACCCAGATTGTTCAGTTTGGGGTCTCTTCACACCTCCTCTCTCTCCCCTTCCCCATCTGTTTAGAAAGCCCCTCTGCTCTGATCCCGTACATTCCGCCCGGTCATCCCCCCGTTTCTCTGAGGTGCAGCCATGTCCGCCCCTGCGGCCGCCGCCTCTGGACCTGACGCGCTCACTTGTTGGTTCCTTTCGTTTGGCGCTTGATCACTTCTTGCTTAGTACTGCCTCCGGCTTCTGAGTTGCTGAACTTTGCCTGTCTGTCTAATCTTTCTGTAGATGATTGGCTCCTTGAAGAAGGGATTATTTCTAATTCCTTGAATTCCCCAGAGCCACACTGGTATATAAAAGGAACATGAAATAATTACAATACTATTGTTTGATGAAGATATTTTTCGAAAACATTAAGGTGAAAATTGCCGAGGAGTCTGTTAATACCTGGTGAATACACAGTTTGAAATGCTGGCTTTGAGCAGCACTATTGAGCTTGTATTAAAGCTTCCTGTTCAGGGGGCTCCCAAGATCAGTGATGGTGGGTCGCTGGCCATGAGCCCCTACTTTGCAGAGAAGGCAAGGGGGGGCCTGGCTTGTGTCAGGGTCTGTGTTCACGTCCAGCTGAGACGCCGCCTTCCCTTCCGGAAGACCAAGCTCGTTCTCGCCTGGCTTTGATGGAAAGCTGAGACCCTGGGTGAGGCGTGGGAGGGGGTGGAAGAGATCTGGGCGGGGAAGGCAGGAAACCCGTCGGATGCAAAGGCAGTTCCCGAGGAAGTAGCCACCACGGGGAGAGGGACTCACGCCCCTGGTGGGAGGCGGCCGGCAGAGGAGGAACTGGGACCCTCGTCCCGCGGGTCAGCTGCCCTGCCTGTCTCCCTCAGGTGGGTCGGTTGGGTGCCCAGGAGGGCTTTGTGGGGGGGATGGGAGGTCACAGCGTCTAGTGTGAGGGACTTGGGGGATAGCACGCCCTGAGCCACAGCCACGGCTGCCCCTCGGCAGCCCCAGCCGGCCGGGCACGGAGGGGAGGACCCAGAGGCCTGGGGGCAGCGGACGCAGTGAGCAGGCAGTTCTGCTTTGCAGCTGATGAGCTGTGGGCTCTGGCAGATGTCCTCAGCGTCAAGCCTGGCAGTCCCCCGAGGGGCCGTCACTGCGCTTCCTGTGAGGGAGGCACTGGCGCTGGTTTAGTCATCTTGGCTCATTCTGTGAGTGTGCGTGGGGGGGACTGCTTCCCCAGAGGTGCTGGACGCAGAAGACTTCTCCCCTTGGTTGCTAGGTGTGCTCAGAGCGGTATCTTCTGTGAAGATTTCTGTCTCTTTTTCATTTTAGATTATCTGCCAAGGTCGAATAAATCACCTTTTCAGTTAGAGTTATTGTTATTCGTAGAAGGGATCTTAGCTTCTGTGACATAAATAATAATTGTTAAATAAATTGTGCTTCTGTCCCCCCTTAATCTTTACAGAAAATGTGCCGGAGGAGCTCCGAGAGCCGTTTTACACGGACCAGTATGAGCAGGAGCACGTCAAGCCCCCCGTGGTGCGCCTGCTGCTGTCGGCCGAGCTGTACTGCCGCGCAGGGAGCCTCATCCTCAAGAGCGACGCGGCGAAGCCGCTCCTGGGCCACGACGCCGTGATCCAGGCCTTGGCGCAGAAGGGGCTGTACGTCACCGACCGAGAAAAGCTGGTGACGGAACGAGATCTCCACAAGAAGCCCATCCAGATGGTGAGTCTTTACGCGCCAAGGTTACTTTGTCTGACGCGTATACTTTTGAGCGTGAATTGCTTTATGCGATAGAGGGAAGTGGGTTTTACAGCTGGACTGTCACCTCTGCCTCGAATTTAAAAAACAGCTTTTTCTTATGAGCCTCATTTTCAAATTAAGGAAGATTGTAATAAGCTATTTTGGGATATTTGGTGACTTTCTAATACCTGGGAGAAAGTTATGTAATTTCCGACTACGTTTAAGTGATTTTTAATCAATTTAAAAACTCATTTTTTCCATCACAGAGACTAGAAGAGATGGAAAGTGCTTCCCTGATTTTATTCTCATTAGGGGTGAGATCTGTAAGCGCTCACTTACATGAGTGCCTTCTCGGTAGAGTTCTTTCTGCACGTTGGGTGTTGCAGTTTGTTCAACAGGCATTGATTCGTCCCTGTGGAGCGCGTGGGGCTCTGAGCTGCCTGGGGCTGGCGCGTGGGGGGCCTCTCTCATGGGCGTCTCTGGGCACGGGTCCAAACGTCAGGGCCACCGTGTGCTGCCTCCGCCCGCCCTGCTGCCGTAGCTGGAGCTCAGAGAGCGCCGGGCGTCCCCGGGAGTGGTGGTAGAAGAGCCGCGGAGCCGCGCGCCGATTGAATCGCGCCCTGTGTGAGACTGGGGTTTTGCCGGGGTTCTGCACGTGGGAGAGTACATGCAATTGTGAAGCTGAAGAGGGACGAGCAAAAACTGGTTTACCATCTCAGGCACAGGAGGTGACCGACTTGCTTTTTGCCTGTTCCTGCTTTAAAAAACACCCTTTTTAATACTTTCAAGGAATAGAGAATACTGTCTCAGGCAAAGTTTTGTTAACGATTTAGTCATAGAGTTATCAAGGATAACCAAGAATGCTTATTACCAGGTAGGAGGTCTGCACCTGTCACCGAAGGCTTCAGACTCACCTCAGGGCTTCTTCCCCCCCGAGTCTGCACCCCCGCTGGTGTGCATGGCATGTGTGCGAACAGCGCAAGCGCGCTTCAGTCTGGCCTGGGTGCGAGGTGTCAGGATGCGCTGTGAGTGTGCGCGGCCTCCGTCTTCTGGGGCCCGGCTTCTGTCCGTGGGGTGTCAGGAGGCTCGTGCCTGACCACGGCGGCGTCAGCCTTGCCCTGTCACACACACTGACCTGTGTTTTCAGTATGTATTTTCTGTCTGTCTTACAGCTTGACTGAGGTTTTCCATTCGCTTGGAATTCTGATTGATGATACTGGGTTTTGGGGGGGGATAATTGGGTTTATTTATTTTAATGGCGCTACTGGGGATTGAGCCCAGGACCTCGTGTGTGCTGAGCGCCTGCCCCACCCCTGGGCATCGTCTACCCCCTGGTGATATTGTAACGTTTCCTGGCTTTTGAAGACCTATGTGAGAAAATTTCTCAGAGTACTAGGAAAGCTTCGTTTCTTAAGAAACTTTTATTTGGTTTTAGAGTAATAAGAATTAGTTTCCTTCTTTGTCCTGCTTTTTGAGAAGTAT